CGTGCGCCACCACGCCCGGCTTCATTATAGAAATTTTAAATCATACCTCATATATTCTTTTCTCTGCCTTGCTCTTCTCCTCTCATTACTCCCTTTCTCTATGTAACTTGTCAGTGTAGTTTGCCAGGCATTAATGTTAATTTCCCTGAATTCCTGTATTTCCCTCCTTTCTGCCACCTCGCAGAATATTCACGTTTCTCTCAGCTTTATAAAGTGGAAAGCAGAGGAGAAAGACAGCTGGGTACCCCATCCCATGGAGAGGGGGAAGAAGGGAAAGATTCCATGAGATGCTACTGAGGAATAGAGTAATCCTGCATCTTGGTTCTCCAAGACCAGTGGTGGCTTACAGGTGCACCCCAATATCATATTTTATAATTCCTTCCTTAACTCACAAAAGTACACCCGTTTGGATATAAACTTTGCACATATCCAAAACGGAAATTAGGATGAGAATACTCTGGGAAGATTAGCTCACATGGATTAGAAAGGAGAAAGAGAATGAAGGAAGGGAAATGAATTAGGTACAGACTTTAAGAATGCGGTACTGATGTCCACCAGAGGGCCTGGTGACCAATAAGTATTCGCTGAATGAACCAGGAACAAAATCCCAAGACCCTAGTCCTAGATAATGACAGAAGAGAGAACAATGAGATCCAGCTATTCTGAGACACCATCCATATTCATCAGACTGCACCCGGAGGGTGACTGACAGAAACAACCCAAGGGCACCTGGGATCCAGAAAGGTAGTGTCATAAGGAACACGGGAATACGGGAAAACACTTTAAACACGGTGGAGAGTACAGAATCAGGAATACAAAGTTGAGAATAAGATGAGGACATCATAAAAACATATAAGGTTACCAAGATAGGGATGTGGGTTGGAAGAGGCAGATGGAGAAAAAGAAATGCACAGGGAGGCTCAGGGTGTTTCTATAGAAAGAAGCAGGACTACGCAGATCAGGGAAGGCTAGTCTGAGGGGAAAAGACCTAACTTTTGTCTGCTTCCTGGCTACATGGATGTGGAATTCATAGGAAGAATTCCTGGACCCTGAGGAGTAAGGTCTTGGGGACGGTAGCAAGAGTCAGGAAAGATAGGCCGTAGAGCAAGTGGGACCCTAACAGCGTTCAGAAAACCATACCATAATCTCAGGAGAATGGATGAACACCAATGAGGACTAACAGATCTGCGACCCACAAATCCCTGAGGCTGGTAGGTAGATAGATGTTCTCACCCCAGGATCCTACCCCATTTTGGGGTTTGAGGAACCCACAAAGTGCAGAGTCCTATTCCCAGAAACAGTGAGAGCAAGAGTGTGAGAGACTTTACCAAGGCAAGCTGTATGCCTTTCATCACCAGTGTCATTTGTTTGGGTCCTTCTGAGCAATGGTCACATGGCCTTTGGTCATTAACTGCAACTAAGTGAAGAATAGGAGGAAACACCTGAAATAAATTCAAGATACAGATCAGCAAAATGTGAAAATTGAAAAAAAAATCCAGTACCAAGAAATATGAAAATATGAAGTTCTTATCACAATATAACACAAAGTCTAACACTATAATAATAAAAAAGCCAATACATTTGACTATATAACATTTTCTGTACTTCAGAAACAATCTGCAATACAAACCAGAGCGTACCTTACATGAGAACTGTTTGTGCGCACGTCTGTGCCCCTCCTCCTTACAGGGACACATAATCCCCAGGCCCACAGAAGGCAGAGCCCATGAGATTAGCCTTGGGTACCACACAGTGCCTGGCACAAACAGGGCTCACATGGGTCCAGATTCTCTATCAAAGAGTGCACACAGGATGGTTAGAGGCGACTCCACCACCATCTTGTCATTCTGGGCTTCTTAGGGTTCGATGCACACCGTGACAGTATTTGCATTCTTGTCAGTTCTGTTGCAACACAGCCACCGAAGGGCCTAAATTCTCTAAGAAACCAGTCAGTCCCACTGCCCAGATGTTCTCAGAAGCCAGAGCTGGAAGGACCTCCCAAACTACCTAGTCATATATTCAAATACACAGATGGGGAGACTGGAATCTGAGGAGAGCTGTGTATTTGTTTCCCACATCCGTTAGGAAGCAGGTTTTCTGTCCCTGTCACAGTCTGCCTCACTCTGCTCAGAAGAGAAGGGAATGACTCACCCTCACTCCTACATACAGCAGCTGCTCACCAAAGATCTGGCCAGCACGGACCTTGCTGATCTCCCCCTTGGGCTCAGTGGGGAAGCTCCCAGTGTGTCTCGAATCACTGTAAACAGATACATATTATGAAATCCTCATCAGGCCGAGTGGCACCTGTCTGAAACCCCATCACTCGGCAGGAGGCTGAGGCAGAAGGACCATGATGAGTTCCAGCTCAGCCTGGACTATGTACTGAGAATTTGTCTCAAAAAAAATTTTTTTTGAGTTCTCTGAGATCTCAACTCCAAGTGGACAGTCAGGGCATGTCCATCCTTGGGCAGCTCCCTATCCGGTGGAACTGTGAGCGGAGTGATGATTCCCATCTTAGAGATATGGAAATGAGGTTCCCCGGCACTGAATGAATCTCCCAAGATCAGGTGACACTCGAGTGACAAGCCTTCTATGTCCCAATGAAATTTTCATTCTAACACATCAAAGCTGCTTCTTTTCAAATGCCACTGCCTTGATATTAAAAGCCTCCATATTCTCCTCTAACTGTAAAATGCATTTCAGGGGGAATTTCTCCGCAGTCTAGCTTTCGAGAAAAATTAGCAGAACATGGAAGACGGGGGAACTCAGCTAAGGGTCTCTCCTTAAACGCCTGTCACTGTAAGACACAAGCGGGAAAACAAGTTTGTTTTTCCCCTCTCGATTACCCAATTTTTAGTTATTAGGTGCTCAGACGGCCTCCAACCCTTCGAGAGAGTTGCTTTTCTTCCTTCCCAGAACACAGTTCCGCCTGGTACAAACTGGATCCCCGGAGCTTAGCCTGCACAGACGCTCCAAGAGCACTTGTTTTGTGAACAAATGAATGGCAGTGCCCCAGGGTTCGCACTGGCAACAAAGGCGGGACGGCAGAGGCGCGGCGGCGGGAGTCCGGAGAGGGCGGGCAGCACCGTCCCCAGCCCGGC